TGCTTCACGGCCATCATCGTTATCGTCATCTCGTCATCGTCATCATCATCGTTATTACCAGCATCATCATCAGCATCATCATCAGCAGCATCTGCATCAGCATCGTCATCCACGTCATCATCAGCATCAGCGTCATCATCACCATCATCAACAACATCATCAGCATCAGCATCATCATCATCATCGTCATCAGCATCATGATCATCCTCATCACCAGCATCAGCATCAATATCATTATCATGAGCATCATCAGTACCATCGTCATCATCATCGTTCACGTTATCACCATCATCATCATCATCAGCATCGTATCCACATCATCATCAGCATCAGCATTATCATCACCCTCATCAACATCAGCATCATCATCACAATCATCATATTGATCACCATCATCATCCCCACCATCACCAGAGTCACCGCCACATCAATTATCGTACACGGCATCAGCATCGATCACTCCGCCTCCTCGATCAGTCACCTTCTCCTCTTTCCTCTGTAACATCATGGGCATCGTTATCAGGACGAGTCGTACCCTCATGATTCGCAACTTCACCACCGTCCGCTACCGGCATCATTATCAGCATCACCATCATCGATATCAGAATCGCCATGTCATACTGATCCTCCCTCCTCCCTCATCCTCCATCACCCTCCTGCAGGCGGGGGAGGAGGAAGGGGAGGAGGAAGGGGAGAAGGGGGAGCAGGAGGAGGAGGAGGAGGAGGAGGAGGAGGAGGAGGAGGAGGAGGAGGGCCGCCGCGCCAGAGCAGGCGACCGCACGCGAGCGCCGCGAGCTGTGCGATGGGAGGGATCGCTGAGGAGCGCTGCGGGAGGAGGAGGAGGACAAGGAGCAGGAGCAAGAGGACACGCGCGTACCGAAGCAGGAGCAAGAGGAGGAAGAGGAGGAGGAGGAGGAGGAGGAGAAGCAGGAGGAGGAGAAGAAGACGGGGGGGAAGGCGGAGGAAGGAAAGAGGAAGGAGGAGGAAGGAAAGAGGAAGGAGGATGGCGGTGGGAGGAAGGAGGAAGGAGGAAAGAAGAGGAGAAACCACGGAGGGATCTGTTTGTAAGGAACACGGCCCCATCATGTGCTATCACGCCCCAGCCAGCACAACGAAAGGGTTCGCACTGCCACTGCATGTTGCCCCTACACCCGACGGTTGGCAAGCCGGATGGCCCCCGGTTCCACACGAAGCGCGCCGCCGAGGCCGCGTGCAACAGGAGCGAGGAGCAGAGCGGAGGAGCGCGCGGGCTGGGAAAAAGAGAGGAGGAGGAGGAGGAGGAGAAGGAGGGGGAGGGGGAGGAGGAGGAGGAGGAGGAGGAGGAGGAGGAGGAGGAGGAGGAGGAGGAGGAGGAGAGGAGGAGGAGGAGGAGGAGAGGAGGAGGAAAGGAGGGGAGGAGGAGGAGGAGGAGGAGGAGGAGGAGGAGGAGGAGGAGGAGGAGGAGGAGGCATTGTGGGCGGGAGCCCCATGGCCCAACGGGCCATTTATATCACCCGCACAACGGTAGCCTGGAGGGGGAGGAGGAAGAGCGAACAGAGGACGGGAAGCACAGAGCAGAGGTAGGAGGCATACAAAAACGGTGCTATGCAGCCGTGCAGTCGCGCGTGCGCAGATCAGTCCCTTTGGACGGCACCCGCACAGTTGGCCCTCGCGAGCAGATGCGTACATAAACAATGAAGCCAGCGGGAGAGCGAGCGGACGCGGAAGACAACGATGAGGGAAGAGCGGAGGGAACGGAATGGACGCCAAATCACAGCACGAGGCTCCCATGGAAGGCCAGACACAAAAACGTGAGCAAAGAGGAGGACAGTGCAGAATCGCAAGGTAGACTAGACGTGACGAATGTGTCGTACAAGTGAAAGTCGGGCGTTGGCAGAGCTGGGTTTAGTGGGACCTGGTTCAGTGATGTGTACTGGGGGACGCCCCCCCCCCCGCCCCGTTCCACGAACCGGAACTGCCGTCACCCGAAAAAACCTACGGCAAACCTGGTTTAGTGATTCTGGCCAATCAAGGGGCTCCGGGGCCCTACCACTAATCCGGTCCCCTTACCTTTAAGTCGGGCGAGTCCTCCTACAAGGGGATTTTGGGCGAAAAATGAAAACTAGTCAAAAACACCCCTAAATGGCCAAAAAATGCTGAAAATATAATCCCCAGACTATTTTCCCCAACCCTCCTGTGTTGGGTTCTCGTTTGGAATAAAGCAGTGTGGTCTCCACCTCCTCCTCTCCTCTCCTCTCCTCCCCTCCTCCTCTCCTGTTTCCTGTGTTACCCTCTCCTCTTCTCTCGTGCCGTCAGGCTGCGATCTGCGCAACTGTCGGCACTTTCGTGGGCTCCTGGGCGGCCTAGCGGAGGTACGTCCCACGCGGACCACCACTATATCTTGCGGTGCCCTGGGGGGCTGCAATCTGCGAAACTGTCTGCACTTTCGTGGGCTCCTGGGAGGCACAGCGGAGGTACGTCATACGCGGACCACCACTATAGCTCGCGGTGCCCTGGGGGGCTGCGATCTGCGAAACTGTCGGCACTTTCGTGGGCTCCTGGGAGGCACAGCGGAGGTACGTCATACGCGGACAACCACTAACGCCCCTTGCGTGTCCGTTTTGTATTTTCGCCGCTGCTCTTCTTGCAGCGCTCTTCTGAAATCACTGCTGGGTGCTCTTCTTGCGCACTGCGAGTCCCTCAGAGTGCCAGCCAGCATCGAGTGGTCCTGAGTGTGCTCGCCACACGTATAGAAAGGGTTGGGCACGTCGCAGGGTCATCTTCCTGTTTGTTCACGACTCCTCCTGTAGAGGGGACACGCCCGACTTCACCTCACCTGGGGCCCTGGCTAGACCGGAGGCAGGCCGACGGCCGAGGCCACGCGAAACGGCGACCCCTCCGGGTGGGCGAGATCGCGCGGGCAGCTGGTCGCCCGGGCAGGCGCGCCGGCAGGCCCTCCCAGGCCAAGTGCGCAGGAGAGGGCGCGAGGGGGCAGGAGAAGCGCGGGGCAGCGCCGAGCCAAAACAGTCATAAGATGATCCCAGTGCGACCCTACCTAGGAGTTGGAGGATCTAGGAAAGCAACATCTATATGAAGCTAAGTTAAGCTAAGATGAAGCTAAGCTAAGATGAAATAAGCTAAGCTAAGATGAGATAAGCAACGCTAAGCTAAGGGGACGTAACTGGGGGAACCGCGGGGCGGATACTGGGGGAACCGCCCGGGGCGAGTTGCACTGCCCAGCCCTTTAAGCATACCGAGTAAGAACCCTTCTAGGCAGAGCCTAGGTGGGGAAAAACAGGAGCCACGGATGCTCCAGAAGGGAGCGGGGAGCAGGGAGCGGAGCAGCGAACTCATGCAGAAGGCGCGATCCACCAGACATGCAAGCTAGAGACGAGACAAGAAGAAACAGAGACGTCGAGAAGGGACGACAGGAGTACAGAGGCCCTCAGAACACGTCGAACATGGCATCTGTTGGACGTTCATTGTCATCACACAGTTTCTACCAGACCCACTCTTCGGACTCGTGGTGCCTGTGGTATCCCAACAGCACAACATTCAGCAGCATGACGGGCTCCTGCAGCATGACGGGCTCCTGCAATATGAAGGAGAAGAAAACACGGAGGGAAGGAGGGGAGAGGAAGAGGACAAGGAGGAGGAGGAGGAGCAGGAAGAGTGGGAGGAGGAGGAGGAGGAGGAGGAGGAGGAGGCGGAGGTTGGAGCGTCTGGGGGGGAGGAGGAGGAGGCGGAGGAGGAGGAGGAGGAGGACGAGGAGGAGGAGGAGGAGGAGCAGAGGAGGAGGAAGGAGGAGGAGCAGGAGTGCGGAGGAGGAGGGGAGGAGGAGGAGGAGGACGCAGTAGGAGGAGGAGGAGGGAAGGCAGAAGGAGGAGGAGGGAAAGAGGAAGGAGGAAGGAGGTGGGAGGAAGGAGGAAGGAGGAGAAACCGACGGAGGGGAGGAGCGGAGGGGAGGATGGACCCAAGCGTAGCCTCCCAGCCCCTCCGCCCCCAAGGGCGGCCTCGACGAGGTGATGACGGCCACCGCCGCTCCCGGCGCCGCGGCGCTGGGGCCGCCCCCGCCGTGGGCACCGCCGCCCGCGCTGGCGCGGCTCCTGAGCACCGGCGACAGCAGCGCCTGCGGGTGCTTTCCGCGGGGCGCGGCGGGCGGCGAGGAGGACGGCGATATGGGCGGCGAGGGCGCGGGGCGCCCTCGCAGGAGGGCGAGGAGGGCGACGAGGCCGAGCACGACGAGGCGGGCAAGGATGAGGGCGCTGAGGACGAGGAACGTCTTCGCGGGACGACGACGACGACGACGACGACGACGACGACGACGACGACGACGACGACGACGACGACGACGAGGGGAGGACGAGGAATGCCTTCGCGGGGCGAGGAGGGCGACGAGGAGGGCGATGAGGACGAGGACGGTCTCTGCGGGACGACGACGACGACGACGACGACGACGAGGGGGGACGAGGAGTACCCTCGCGGGGCGAGGAGGGGGCGAGGAGGGCATCGAGGATAACGAGGATTGTGTTCGGGGGGCTCCGCACCCCATTGCGTCCAGGAGGGCGTCGAGCCCAAAAGCTGGCTGCGACGGAAGGGGGCACGGCATCGAGGAGGAGGAGGGCGAGGACGAGGAGGACGAGGACGACGACGAGGATAAAGAAACGAGAGGGTCGTGCGTAATTCTCGATTTGGGGGTGCCACCCTCGTTCCAATGTTACAAGATGACCCCTGGAGAGAATCCGAAAGAGGACGAGGGAGGACGACGAAGAGGACGAGGGAGGTCTTCGCGGCACGACGACGAGGATGAGGACTAGGAACGACGACGAGGAGGACAAGGACGAGGAGGACGGGAAGGAGCACCGAGGATCCAGCCAATGGGGAGCCTCCTGCGGTGCCCTCGTCGCCACGGCTGAATTCAACTCGAAACGGCACCACTTTTGGGGGGATCTCCTCCTCATCCTCCTCCTCCTCCTCCTTGTCCTCCTCGTCCTCCTCATCCTCCTCATAAGCATCACCATCATCCTTATCGTCATCATTTCCTCACCGACTCAGATCCCGAAGCTCGAAACGTGATGCAGCTACGCGGATGCAGGAGGGTCCTTTTCAGGGTGCGGATCCCGCCGCAGCGGCTGTGAACGCTTGCAACCGCATCAGGCGTGGAGGGCAGGTCCTTTGCAGAGTGGCGCCCTCGCCGCAGCGCCGCGCACTGTCTTACGAGCTTGCAACACTTGCACGGATGGAGGGCGACTACAGCGCGAGCGCGGCCACAAGAAAGCGTCGCAAGAAACCCAACACTGAAAATCCGCGCGCGCGAGGCGAACACCTGAGCATCCCGAACGCAGCAGCTTCTGCAGGGGCTGCGGGAAGTCGCCGCGCAGCGCGCGGAGCGAAGCAACCCGGGGTACGTGGACGAGAAGCAGATGGCTTCTTGATGCGCGCCCCCACTGCATGTTCTCATTCGTTTTAAGAGCTTGCAGCAGTTACGAGGATGCAGGGGGGCAGAATTGGGCCTTCGGCCGAGCGCCAAGCACGTTCGTGATGCAAGGTTACAGCAGCTACGCGGCTGGAGGGCGGCTCCCATTAGAAATGCGGCCATCGCCTGACAACCACACACACACACACACACACACGCACCTCCTCCTCCTCCTCCTCCTCCTCCTCCTCCCTCCTCCTCCTCCTCCTCCCCCTCCTCCTCCTCCTCCTCCTCCTCCTCCTCCTCCTCCTCCTTATCTCCGCCCCCTCCTCCGCCTCCTCCTCCTCCTCCTCCTCCTCCTCCTTCACCTCCTCCTCCTCCTCCTCCTCCTCCTCCTCCTCCTCCCCCTCCTAGTCGTCGTCGATGTCTTTCAGGGTCGGCGGCACCGGCCGTCAGGCCTTCACAATATGGCTATCGCCTGAGAACCACACACATTCGTCTTAGCAGTTTGTACTAGCTACACGGATGGAGGGCTGCTCCGTTTCATCGGAATGCGGTTCTTGCCATGGCGCTGGGCACGTTCATCTGAGACGCTCGGGACAACTGCAAGCTGAAACGCGTCTCTCGCTGGCTCGCCTATTTCCAACGTCAAGCAACTTGAATAATGAATGTAGCAACTGCACGGATGTAGGGTGGCTCCTTGTTGAAGTGGGGATCTTGTTCTAGACTTGCACGAGTTCGGATGGGGGTCCGTTCCAAAATGGGGCTCTCGCTGAAAACCAGTTTTCTTTATGACGCTAGCGTTCCACAAGTCGTTTTGACTCGCGAGAAGGGTGCAAGCCACTTCATTTTCAAAGCGAGGCTCTCACCTGAATGGCAGGCACATGGGATGCTCGTCTTCAAAAGGGCCCGTCTTGCGGTAAAAAGGAAAGCGTACAGGAACTGCTTAGGAATGGGTGTACTCTGGTCCTTCTCCTCCTCCTCCTCCTCCTCCTCCTCCTCCTCATCCGCATCCTCCTCCTTGCGCGACTCTCGGAAGATTCCGGACGGCTTCGGAAGCTCATCGGGAGGAGTCGGATGCTTCCCCTGGTCTCCGATGTGTTTCGATGGTGGTCGAAGATCTCTGGCGGTGCAAGTGTGTGGCGGGCATTTGACATGGTCCTGACGCTTCTAGGTGATTCCCGAGAGTTTTCGGAAGCATTCCAGAAGAGGTTCCAGAAGAATCTGAAGGGGAGGAGTCTTCGACGGGCCTTGAGGACGAGAGCCCTGGAGCCCTGGCGCTCAGGCATGGGGGGGTCCCAGACCGTCTGGTAACACGCCTGCGTGTAACCGAGTACTCGGGCAATCGAGGCAACAATTACTAGAGGGAAATCGAAACCTGTGGTGGCCATACAGTGGGGGCCCAAGCACAAGAAACCTTCCATGAGAAACCCAACCATCCGTTTCTGGTGTGGGAACGTCACGCCTTCCACAGCGAAACCATCGAAACCCACGAAACCCAGGGCACCCTGGAGGCAAGCAGGGTGCTTCTTGGCGTGGGCCTCCACTGCAGAGAGCAGCCCAGCGAGACGGAAGGGACACGTGACGAGCTGCGTCGCACCTCCGATGGAACTCGGGCCACAGAGGGGGGGAAGGGAGAGAGCTCGCGAAGCGAACTACGCGCCCCTAGGAGGGGGAGGGGGAGGAGGAGGAGGAGGAGGAGGAGGAGGAGGAGGAGGAGGAGGAAGAGGAGGAGAAGGAGGAGGAGGTGGAGGTCAGAATTGCATTCGCCCGACTCGACATGTCCACAGAGGACAGCTTCACCCAGACGGTCTCTGGCTACCGCCTATGCACGACGGCGCTCCAACGAGCAAGTCGGCGCGCGAGCCCGCTCGCTGTCAGGTGGGCGTGCCAACCCATCCTCTATCGCTCACCGTGCCGAGCCGCCCGCTGCTCGGTAGTGAGGGCCTGTAGCTCCGCCCCTGCCTTAAGCAGCTCCTGCCTGGCTGAGTGGCCGACCGATGCACAAGACGCAGTCCCCCCCCCCTTCCCCCCGAGGAAGTTCGCCCATACGGCAGCGGCAAGTCTGGAAACTGCCGTTCCTCCAGTCCTGAGTGCGGAAACTCATTCCTCCTCCCCTCGTGCAGGAGCGACGGGCGGTGCCCTCCCCTCGGTTTCATGGTGGCGGGCGGGGCGTCGACATGTTCCAGTCGCTGCTGCCGACGCCGCCCTTGGTTTCGGGCTCCCCTGTTACGTTCCCTAGTTGCTGGCGGGCTGGTGACAACCAGATTGACACCTTCTCCTGGCACGCGGGGCCGTCGTCCGCGCCACCAAAGAGCCCGAAAGGAGCTTCCCTGCCGCCATTACCTCGGCGACGTGCGCTGTCGCCCTGACCACCGTGAAGGTTTGGACCGCGGCCTCGTCTGCTGATCTTCGGTCATGCTCCTGCGCTTGCGGCGTGGCCCCACGGAATCGCGGCCTCTGCTGCTGCGGCGTGGCCCCTGAGCCACCAGTCGAGTGCAGCCCTGCTCCCGCTCCCTCTGCTGCTGTCTCCGCCACTTGCCGCGTGCCTGGCGGGGTCAGTCCATCCAGCGGCAGCCCCGAGCGTCCCTGCGGACGCCAACCTCTTTGATTATGGTGCCCTGGCGCAGGCGTTGAGAGTCCACCGCCGCCTGGGCAATTCCATTCCCCGTCGAAATAACAAAAATTCCGTTGCCGGCCGAGACAGCAAATCGTTCGCGGGCACGTGCCTCTGTTCCCCCTTCTCCCCCCCTCCTCCCCTCCTCCCCCCTTCTCCCCGTCCTGCTCATCCACTTCATCCTCCACTTCCTCTTCTTCCTCCACTCCGCTTCCCCCTCCCTCTCGCCCTCCTGCTCCTCATCCCCCTCCTCATCTTCCTCCTCATCATCATCAGCATCATCATCATCCTC